ATTGAAACCGGCTGACTTAATAACAGAGGCTGGATCACATGCCGAAAATTAAGTTAGACTTGAAATTATGTTGAAATTATGAGATAGAAAGTTGAAATTATGAGATAGCATGTTGTCTGTGTACCGACATTAAAACTATCACAACAGGTGGACAGGAGAGGCAACAGCCCGTAAAGAGGTTTTCCAACAAGTGATTGAGTTGAAAAAGATCGACAAATAATCCCAAAATGTCCACGAAGAGAAAAATTGATGCAGAGGGAAGAAAATGTAATAAAAGATGGGAAAGCGAATACATGTCTGTGCTTCAGGGAGAAAAACAGGTCTGTCTTCTGTGTTATGATGCGTGTCAGTGATGAAGGACACAATTCACGTCGGCATTTTGACACCAAACACGGAGCTAAATTTAGCCTCCAAGAAAAACATCAAATTGTCCAAGAATTAAAAGGCAGACTGCAATCACAGCAGAATATATTTACAAAAGCTACAGCCAAGTGCATGCTAAAGTTATGTGAGCAGGTGTGCTCCGACCAGATACAGACTTTTACAAATGTCAGTTTGTGAAGAAACACCATCGCAGACCGAGTTCAGGAACTAGCAGCAATCTAACAACACAGCTAGCTAAGAGACGAGATACATCATCTATCAGTGTTTATAAGACCTGATCTCAGTGAGGAGCTCTTGGATGTAGCTGCCATGCACGGGACAACGGCAGGGAGGGACATTAGTGATGCAGAGAGGTGACAAAAATAGCTTTGAACAAAGGTAATGTAATAACTTGTGTTTGATGATATTTGTCTTTGTTATTTTCTTTAATAGTTTGATCTTTGATAGAGTAATGTGGGTTTCTTAACCCTAAATTAAAATTATTTATGTTATAATGACAGAAATGTGCTTAAATATCATTTTACATTTATATAACTGCATGTACAATATTTTTACACTTGAATAAACAATAATCAAAAGCAGAGACAGTTATTTAACAATATGTCAGGACTAGTTACAGTTATACAGTCTTACAGTTACAACCGGCCCTTTGAGGGAAACCATGACGCTGATGTGGCCCGGAGTGAAAATGAGTTTGACACCCCTGATCTACATGCTTCCACTAGCTCAGATTATGGAAAACAACAAAGTGTGTTATCATAATTATGGAGACGACACACAAATCTATATAACTACAGTATGTCACCAGGGGACTATAATCCCATACAAGGGCTGGGTAACTGCATTAAACAAATCAACAACTGGATGGGCCAGAATGTTCTTCAATTAAACAAAGAATTAATTGTTTTTGGTACCAAGGACGAACAATTGAAAGTCAGCGCTCAGCTTCAATCACTGATGTTAAAAACCACAAACCAAGCCAGAAATCTAGGTGTAGTTATGGATTCAGACCTCAACCTGAACAGCCTCATCAAGACAATTACAAAATCAGCCTCCTATCACCTGAAGAATATATCAAGGATAAGAGGATTTATGTCTCAACAGGATTTGGAAAAACTTGTCCATGCATTTATCTTCAGCAGACTGGACTACTGTAACGGTGTGTTTACAGGTCTCTGTAAAAAGTCAGTCAGAAAGCTGCAGCTGATTCAAAACGCTGCAGATCGAGTCCTCACTAAGACCAGGAGGGTGGATCACATTACTCCAGTTCTGAGGTCTTTGCACTGGCTTCCTGTCAAACAAAGAATTGACTTTAAAATCCTGCTGTTGGTTTATAAAGCACTGAATGGTTTAGGGCCAAAATACATCTCTGATCTGCTGCTACCTTATGAACATGGAGAAGCAGCGTTCAGTTGTTCTGCTCCACATATCTGGAACAAAGTCCCAGAAAACTGCAGGTCTGCTGAGACCCTCAGCTCCTTTAAATCAAGATTGAGGACTTTTCTGTTTGCTGCTGCCTTTAATTGAACTACATTCAATTAATATATTAATCATTTTCCTGCATTTTACTACTGTATTTTATTTCTTACACTGTTTTTTAATGTTTTAATGACTTTTTATTGTTTCTTAATTGTTTTTAAATCTCCTTTTCTTTTGCCTTATGTTTTGATGCTTTTAATGGTTTTATGTGAAGCACTTTGAATTACATTGTTGTTGAAATGTGCTATACAAATAAACTTGCCTTGCCTTTGTCTGCTAGTTGGCTGAAGCTAACGCTAGTTAGCTAGCTAACGTTAAATCGTTAGCCTAGATCAGTGTTTTTCAACCTTTTCTGAGCCGCGGCACATTTTTTACATTAAAAAGATCCCGCGGCACACCAACAACCAAAAACATTACAAAATGACACCTTTTAGCATAATACAGCATATATGCAAGGGTGTCAAACTCAATCCCAGGGAGGGACAAAATAAGAAATTGGGACTACGTTGAGGGACAAATAGTCACCATTTAATAAACAGGATAGAAGAGATATTGGACAAAGTGCAAAAATAATACATGTTTAGGTAGGCTACATTATTTTATGCATATGTGCCAGAGCCAGATGTTTGGCATCTTTTCTTGGCTGCCAGTTCATTAATATCTGGGGTTAGGTTCTGTGCTGTGGAAATCTTCAAGATGGAGTGAAGGTGCATCAGTGAGACGACTCCTGTGTGGGTTTTTGTGTATCTTCATCACAGAGAAAAGCTGCTCACGTAGGTATGTGCTTCCAAACATGCAGAGCGTTTGAGCAGCATGTAGGCGGAGTTAAGGCATCGTTTCGGGGGTGAAGCTTGGAAACTGCAGCGCCCTCAGACTCATACTTTGCCTTGAGTGTCATTACACTGGAGGTCTATCAGCTCCACAGGTGCTCTTTCCACGTCAACTGCAAACGGATTGCTGAGCAGTTCAAATTTAAATTTCTGAGCTGCAAAGTCGGCAAATCGCCGAGTGAACTCCGTGCCAAGTGCACCCAGTTTATCAGCAAAATGCGCAGTCGGGAACACAGCGGTGGAGACTTTTATTGCCTCACACATGTCTGTGATCAAACGTCCCCGTCCCAGAAGCTGGAGGTGCTCAACAATGGCAAAGTATTTGCAACAACTAAATATTTTATTGGACTCATTAAGTGAAATTCGACATTTTCCCACGGCACACCTGACGATCTCTCACGGCACACTGGTGTGCCGCGGCACAGAGGTTGAAAATCACTGGCCTAGATAGCGTGTGGAAATATATTTAAAGTTAATTTAGCTAAGCTGCTATGCTTCTGCCTGTGAAATATATTTAAAATGTTAATAGCTGATTATCTAACACGAGTTAATGTTACTATATGTCTAGATGTGAACTATCTAATTACTTTAGCTATCAACTATTCTTTATTAAAACTTGTTTACCAATTAAAAAATGATGCCATTGTTACATGCGCAGTTAACTCAATGCAATGTTATGTTAGCTAACTGAACACAATTGAAAACGCCACCATTTTGTGCTTGCTAGTCAACGGAGTATTTCCAATTGTTGAGAGCTAACGTTAAAAAATGCCCTTCAGATAGAGCTGCTTCGGACTCCATGTTTGACTGACAGCGGCCGGCTGAGCTATTTAAGACATTTATTTAAGACATTAAATAAACGTGTGTTTGTAACTGTAGCTTGCAAGTTAAGGTCAGAAAGCTGCGTTAGCAATTGTTGAAGATCAGTCTTGATGATTTCAGGCACCGCTAGTGTTTTGGCTAATGGTAAACTAGCGATGTGAGTGAGTGGGCGAGCGAGAGAGAGGGAGCGGCGTTGTGGGTGCCGTCAGACAGAGCTGTGCTGATCTGTGCAGAGCTTAGTGAGCTGTAAAAACTGAAGGAAGTTGTATACTATGAGCCACATTTTGTGATTATATAAATGATGTGGACCGTAAAGCAATTCCTGAATGTTGTGTAAATACACATTATTGATTGTAGTGACACAAACGAGCTGTATGATTTTTGACCAGCTGTGGAGGATGAAGCAGGACACCGTTTGAATAAGACTGTTTCTGAAGGGAGAATCCAAGACATGCAACTTATACAGCAGACACTTATGTTCCAGCAGGCAAAAATAATGGATGTTAGTTGACCTTAAAATGTTGGTGCTTGTATAGTCTATGATTTGTCAGGTTGAAGGCAAATAAACCTGTTGATTTGCTGTAGTACAAACAAGTGCAAAGATAGCTGTAGACATTTTCTGATAATAGTATACTTTTATCACATAGTATCTGTCAATACAAAGTTCAAATGAACACATGTGCTGCTAATGTCAGTGGCAACTGTATCTCTGCATTGAGAGTATACAGAGGACTGTCAGTGTGTCTGTTTTTGTGGATAGAAAGTTAAATTGGGTTTATTAATTGGGTACATCAAAATGGCCAGAAATAACTAATATAATTACAGTAAATTATAATGCATAATTTGCATAGAACATACCTTTTGCCTTTACTGTGCATGGGCCAGGAAAAACTCTGTTATGAGTGATGAATGATGGATGCTGCTCACCCAGACTTGAGCATAAGCTGTTCGTTTTCAATGTCTTATGCTATACAATAATAGGTTAAGCAATATAGTCATACAGTCACTAATGAATAATGTGGACATATGTAGTCGTTGTGATGGTGACAGAGTTGTGATGGTAAAGACCTGATAGATCGGCCATTGAAGGATGTTCAGCATTAAGCAAGGCAAGAATGTTAATTCCGAAACATGGACATGAGCCATAGCAACACATACCGACTTCGAACATGATTTTGGTCCAATAATGTTTCTCTCTGCCATAGACAATGAAGTAGATGGGCCTACACTTCTCCAGATGTCTGAAAGAAAGTGAGCAAATCATTCCAAAAATGAAAGACCAAGTGAAGTTCCTGTCTGCTTTAGCGCAGCTGAAAGTGTGAGTTACATTATACAGTGGAGCCATGTAATTTTAGTTAAGATTCTAAAGATGTACTTGTCTTGTTTTTGGTAGTTATTTTACATGTTGGCTTAAATTAAAATCCGATTTTCCTCCCCTTTAGCAGTGAAAGCAAAGCCCCTGTGAGTCAGAGAGCCCCAGCAGCCCAACCAATGATCAACTGCCAAGTCCGGTAGGACAAGGATGCAGCTCTGTTTGACCATTTGAGCCAAGACACAATGTAAGTTTGTGTTCCATAATAGAAGATGGCGACAGACAGCGTTACATCATGTAAGCAAACCATGTAGCTATCAACTGTGAGCTCCAGATCAGACTGGAGATGTAACCAAAAAAAAAAAACATGCTAAGTAGTACTTGCTATCTGGCATTTTCAAAGCATGTGACAGTAATGGAAATAGAAACGGTGTCCGACAAAAATTCAGCTCAAAATGGTGCACAGCGCAGTGCTGTACCACTCGTGGCAATTTAGGACACAGTGTCATGGACATAATGAACAACAAAAGATATTTGAATAATTTGAACTTATGTGTTTTTCAAGAACAAATATTCAAACATAATTCTTGGCCAATTTTGACAGCCGTAATGTACAGTAATGACATGTTATCTGCCTGTAAAACAAGTTTCCTTGTTAATCAAGTTTTAGGTCTGTATGCCATAGTGAAAACTATGCATCATGATGACAAACTACACATTTGCAGACCTTTAACTGCTCTTTCTGATCATTTGAGTTAGGTATCTCTGTTTATTGCGCTGATCTGGAATGTCAATCTTGGATAACGCCTTGTGTTTTGTTCCTTTTGAAAACTTACAGGTATCTGTCTCATATTCAGTATGTGCAGCTCCTTAAGTCTGTCCTGCTCAACTTCCATTTTCTGAAGGAAAGTTATGGATCTGGATATGTAAGTATTTTCTCATTGACTAAAAGAGTAATAGAGACAAACTGAATTTTATGCTTCATACTTCATGCTCCAGCTCAGTCCTAATTGTGTCATTGTTTATTACTTAGCAAACAGATGCAATGGATGCTGGGGACGACAAAAGAAGTACGAGCCACCATATTGTAACAATGAAGCAGGAGTGCCAAAAGATGAGGCCCAACTTGGTCATCATTCGCCAATGCCTCCAGAGAGTACAGAAGACACTATATTCAACAACACTACTGCAGAGGTCTTAAAAGAATTCCCCTGCTTCTCTATTCCAATCTTGGTGAGTGTTTTATCTAATATATAACACGTGGTGCAGTGTTTCCCGCAGGATTTTGTGAGACTGTGGTGGGTGGACCTCAGACCCCGAAATGGACAGGTGTTAAACCAGAACTTAAGACAGAGGGCAATTTGGGAACCCATTAGCGATTGGTTTGTCGACGCATACTCCCCTGGGGGAAAGGGGCTATATTTCTGGGGTTCCAGTGTAGCCGGCAGATATCCAGGACCAGACTTCCTTTTCAGTGCGCTGTGTGTTTACAGTCTGATGAGCAACTTAAGATGCGAGACTGGAGTTGGAGTTGAGAAACGACATGTACAACAAGATGGTTTTACAAGTAGCCAGTTTACAAATAATTTAAAACCAATAAATAGCTTAAAAACTATTAAGAAACATTAAATACTTTTTCTTGCCTCATTGAGCCATTTTCACTTCAAGCCTTTAAAAATATCCCATATACTGTAGAAGTGCTCTAAAAAGTTGACTTGACGTTTACCTAGATGCTTTTATCAAAATCAACACTCCTGAGGAAATTGGTATGATAGTCTCAAAACTTTGCAGAATCAGAATTGTGACTTTTATTGAAAAATGATTTGTCATTTGCAGGCCAGTTGGTGAATGCAGCCATACTCCTCATACCATCGGTCTTCAAAGAAAATGCATCACAGCTGTTTGCAATAGCTAAGGTTAGTAATTTGTGTTTGTGGGAGGCAACTTGAATTTGTTTAAAAGGGAAATATGTATTAAAATGCAATGCCAGATTCTGGATTTTAATATATTGAATATATTTTCAGAAAATTAAGATTAACTGCAATTTCAAAAATATATCTAATGAATTAAGTAATTTAATATTGTCAACAAACTAGCATTTTATGTGTAACTAAGCATATCAGAAAGCTTTGATCTTTCAACATTACAAACTTACAGAATACAGTTTTAAGTTTCAAATGTTTTGTTTCAGGAACCACTAAGCCCAACACCCACAATTGTCCTGAGCAACAGCGATGGCAAGCCCCTGAGTGACGGCACAGATGTTTTTGTAGCAGTGGATGGACAAAAAATAATGGTGGACAATGAAGACGCAGACATTTCATTGGCCGTGGGTGTTATGTTGGCCCTCTATCATGTCTTTGATCTTGCATACCCTTGTCAGCTGAAAAAAACATTTTCATTTTTGGAGGCATTTATCCTGAAGCTGGACACACGGGTACCTGTAGCTGTGCAGAGAGTGGCAAATGCTCCGGACATTTCTTAGATAGGACACTGCATGTACCACATGGATTACATTGTATGGAGTTGATTTCTGACAATAAAGTCAAGTGCAGTACATCTACAGGTGTTTGTTATATCCAAAAATCAATTTGCCATAATGTCCGTGCATGTAAAAGATGATTTTATAGATCATTTGGTACCGGGCCGCACAGAAAGAATAAATATATTATTTCCATTTTATTGATTATCAGAGTCTGAAAGAAGTTTTATTTTGAAAAATGACCAGATTCTCTCGCAATTTCATCCACCTGTGGCTCTTGACACATGTCAAGACGCTTGTCTCGCTCACGTGATACGTTACCTCAAAAATTAAGCCCACAAACTACATTTGGAGAGCTTCTTTGCAAAGGGGGAAAGGCCACTAAGGAGACAGAAGAAGAGCCTACAACTTCCAAGAAAAAGAAAGCTTAATTTAACAGATAATATCAGCAGTCTAATTAAATATCAGGAGTAATTCTGACGCGCCAAGCCCGCTCTGCAGAATATGTGGCGACAGAGGAAGATCAGCTGCTGGAGATTGTAAATGACGGTGGCCTTAAAAGTATGTCAACAACTCTGCTGGTGTTTGGATTAAAATCAAGGCTGAATATTCTGAGATCGCCACTAAAGCACTGAAAACCCTGCTTCCATTTCACACATCCTCTTTGTGAAGCGGGATGTTCTGCAGTGACAGCAATCAAAACAAAACGAAGTAGACTGGACATCAGGAACAGACTTCAGGTGTCATCGTCTCCCATTACCCCCAGATGGGACCGTCTCGTTGCAGAGAAACAAGCTCAGGGCTCCCACTGATTCAGCGTTATTGTGAGTTGCATTTTTTATGCATTTTATATTTGTTTTCATGCCGATCGTATCATTTTATTTCGTCGTGTTTTTCCGCCACACCTTGAAGGCCGGTCCGTGAAAATATTGTCTTACATGAAACCGGTCCGTGGTGCAAAAAATGTTGGGGACCGCTGCTTTAGAGAACCTTTTTGTCTTTAGGTCCTTCAAAGAACCAGAAATGGTGCTTCAAATAACCAATTTTTGAAGGTTCTTTGAGGCACCTTTGTGGGTTCTTCAAAGAACGATTGTTCACGGGAGTAAACAATGGCCCCACTTATTGTGTGTAGCTCTCCGTTACACAGAGGGAGAAAAGTTGAGAAAAAGTTACGGTAACCGTAACTTAAACTAAACGTTAAGGAAAAAAAACAAAAAGAAGAGAGGAAAGACTGTAAAAAAGACAAAAAATTAAAACACACGGAGCTGCTGCAACAGGCTGCCGCTGGCACGGAGTCATCTTGCGATGGCAGATGAGCAAGGATGGGTTTTAGTGCCTCAGGAACTGTTTCATTTGTGATGGGATTTGATGCTAATTCCTCTGTAGTTAAATAACAGTCTCACTTAAAGAACTCATGAAATACATTTTGAGTTGCTCAAATTGGGAACCAACAACAAGTAAGAAAACAAAGGAAATTTTCTCATAAAAAATTAACTGCAATGCCTTTTGATTATTTTATCAACACATTTAACGTGATTATACCTATACAGCAGTGGCGGGCCGTGCATTTTATACCTGGGCCTGAAATACCACCTTATAACCTCATGATGGCGCCACAGCTATTATCTGTTTCTAGGACTGTAACTATATACATATTTGTATTAAACCGTTCGGTACGAGTCTTACTAACCGAACAATACGTTTGAATAATACGAGTGCATTAGGAAAATGCAGAAGCATAAATTGAGGGGAATATAATGTTTTCAGCACTCAGGTAGGACAGTGCTTCTCAACTGGTCTGGCTGCAGGACCCACGATCACCCCTTAATGACAAGCCGCGACTAGTGATGTGACCTTTCGTGTCGAGGCTTCGAAGCTTGTGTCGAGTAATCCAGGAAGATTTTTATGAGGGGCGTATCGAGGCTTGTGTTGATGACGTATGTGGTGACGTTCGAAGCCTCGAGAGCCGGCCGTACCACGTGACTGATTCAGGAAATGGTTCACGGGTTTGGCGTGAGATTGGAAATATAAGGGGCAGCGAAACGCAATGGATCCCCTGTCACATTTTGTGTACTTCTGACTTTATTGTGCATTTGTTTGCAAACTATTGTCTGTACCCCAGCTTCATCTGTGCCCTGTGAAAGGGTGTTTTCTAAAGCAGGCGAAATAATGTAAAAAAAATAAGAAACCGCCTGAAGCCCATCACTGTGGAAAAGTTGTTATTTTTAAATAAAAATGAATAAAATGTTTTACGTGTTGATAAGGAGAGTCACAAACCAAGGAACACAAGCACATTCGCCCGTGGCTCAATGGGTAGAGAGTGTTGTCCGGAAACCGCAATGTCGGCTGTTCAAGCCTTGGCTGCTACATGTCCTGTGCCGAAGTGTCCCTGAGCAAGACACTGAACCCCCCTAACTGCTCCCAGGGCGCTTCTCAGCAGCCCACTGCTCCCAATAAGCTAAGGATGGGTTAAATGCAGAAGTCAAATTCGTATATGACAATAAAATCCTAACTTTTTTTTAAACTTCTCACATCACAACCCTCTCCCCAATTTGTTTCCACTTTCCCTTTAGACCCCGCCATTGTATCATAAAGACAGACACCATATTAATAAGTTCTGTGTCACGCATCACAAACATCATTCATAACTCTAAATGGCCCATGGGTGTCAGTGTGAGGATGAATGGTAGTCTGTCTCTATGTGTTAGCCCTGTGATAGCCTGACGACCTGCCTTTGCCTTTTGTCAGCTGAGATTGAATCCAGACCCCCCGGGAGCATGAATAGGATAAGCGGTTACAGTTAATGGTAAAGGCTCATAGTGATGTTATGAGGAGCTCAATACTTCCAAACCTTATGGCCTTGAGCCTGGTGGTGTTGGACCGGGATGCTAAAATGAAATCTCAAAGGCTAATTAAACACCATAGCATGTGACCAGTTTAAAAAAAAAAACTGAATAAAAAAATGCGAAGAAGTTTTAATCTGTGTGAACTACAAAAAACTCAGAAATAGGTCAAATGACCAAGACCAAATCAACAGCGCATTGTGTGGTGGTGGCATTCATTTGTTAAAATTGTGTGTCAGCACCACAAAAACAATGCCAACGGAAAGTCAATTGGGATCCTTTCTAATGGTGGAATTAAACACATCCACATGCGTGATACAGCATGCATTATACAATGGTCAGAGCTAATGACAAGGTATAACAACCCAATCTCACTGCCAAGGCGTCAAGTAAAGCAGCTTGGTCAGTGTTCACAGAGGAACATTTAGTGTGTGAATGTGACATGGGCAGAGTAACTGAGGTAGTTTAAAGAGCGAGATTCCACAGCGAGTGGGTGGGATTTTAGGTGGATGGGTCAGATAAAACAAAACGTCCAGGAGACCGCTGTTCGTAAACGTTGACATTTTGTCATGTCAGTCATTAGTCAAGTGAGTCGTTGGGACTCATGTGCAGTAGTCATGTACGTAGTCAAGTAACATCTATTCCTAAACCTAACTAAGAGGTTTTGTTGCCTAAATCAAACTTCCTTTGAGTTGTTGGTCAGTCAAGTTAACGTCTACTAGGCTTTCCTAGACCAGACTAAATGGTTTTGTGGCCTTAACCTAACTTCCTGTGAAAACGGTTTACTTTGAAAAGACGCTATGTATGTAACAAGCTTATAATGAAACTCTGTCACTGAGACATGCAAAAGTGATGCTAGAAGAGCGTCATAGTTTGAGGCTTTATGCCACTGACCAAGCTGTTTACTCTAAACACATTCTCTCAAAAAATAACTCTTATTGTGAGAATGTGTTGATTAAACAGCTAAAAAGACTTCTTATGATGGGCGGCAGATGAAATGGACCCGTCAAAAACACACGACAAACACATGGACTTTCAACCACGAGACAGATGTTTGAGACCGGTGTTCGTATCCCAATGTAAATGGTAAATGGACTGTACTTTTCTAGTTTTCCGACCACTCAAAGCGCTTTAAGACTACATGTGTTACACACTACATTCACCCATTCACACCCATTCATACACTGATGACAGGGGCTACCATGCAAGGTGCCACCTGCCCATTAGGACTATCTACTCATTCATAACCATTCATATACAGCAGGAACAGTAGGAGCAATTTGGGGTTAAGTGTCTTGCCCAAGGACACATCGACAAGAACTAGTGGAGCCGGGGATTGTTCTGCCGATCCTCTGATTGAAGGACGACCCTGCTCTACCACTGAGCCACAGTCACCTGTTGTAGTGTTTATGAGTTATTGTGAAGTTACATTATTGACACTTTCATAATGTTAAAGTGGTTTTGTTGCCTAAACCTAACATTACTTTTGTTATCTAAACCAGAGGTCTTCAACAGGGCATCCGCGGAGGTACTGCAGGGGGTCCGCGAAATGTTTGGTTGATTAGACAATTTTTAATTTTTTAGTTTTTTTCCAAACATGAATGTGTCCATTATTTTAATAGTTCAGTATTGTATGAAAGATAACAGGTATCTTTATGCATGGCAGTGGCACTAATAGGCCATGCAGCACTAATAGGCCATCACTCATTTTCGTTTCCACATTTATGTTTAAAATGAAAACATTAATTTGAATAGCTTGTATGCATGATTATCATGCAATTGACAGACAATGTTGATATTGGCATTGATATCAGCTGACAAGTTGTGTTTATAAATGGCAGTGGCACGGCCTCCCTACTCACTGTACCTTGCACATGTTTAATATAACAACATGAATATATGAACCTGTGTATTATTGGAATAGCTTAGAATTGAATGCACAATAAAGAGGTATGTTTATACATGGTACTTGGCCCAGTTTAATATAAAACACAATTTTATATAATATATATTGTCGGGGGTCCCTGCTCCATCTCTAATCAGTTTAGGGGTCCTTGGCCTGAAAAATGTTGAAGCCCCCCGCTCTAAACCTATGTTTAAGTACTTATTTCATGCAAAATGCCAAAACCTAACTAAATGTTTTGTTTTGTTGCCTAAACATTACCTTTTTATTTCCATGTTGCTGACACACTCTCTTTTAATCTGTCTCTCTGTTCCCTAACTTTTTAAAAGTGCAATACTAAATTGCTGGAGTGCCCCTTTTAAGTGTGTATTTACGTATCCTCAACCTATGGTGAAATGTTTTGTCCATTTAGCAAATGTGTCAAAAAAACAAAAACTTACTCTTTTTTTACCAGTTAAGTCAATTAAGAGTAAACATGTGTGAAAACTTGTAAATGGTTTTAAATGGACAGGGACAAAGGGAAACTAGCAAACAATATTTAAAAGAGCGTATGCAGCTGCAAAGCATCAGTTAACCTGAGGTAAAGATAAAGCCACTTCGTATTTCTCCTCTTTGTTTTAGTTTTTTTGGAAACAGAAAAAGACCCTCAGGATCGATAACCACCTTGACATTGATCTGATGCTGTTATTCGGCTACGGAGCGATGCTGTATCTGGAGCTGTGTCTGGTGTTGACCCAGGCTGACCGGTGGACAGGATGTTCCTGAGCATCCCTTGCGGCATTCAGCTTGTTTATTTTTCTGGCTGAGAGCAGCTATCCGCCCCCCATCACTCAGCCTCACCAAGAATGTAAACACATGGAGGATACATGCACATGTTCTTTAAGTGCTATTATCTGCATTTGTACATGTACAAACAAATGTACAGTTTGCATAACACATTAGTGCATGTGAATAATCGTGAATTTCTTGGTATCCGGCTTCAACTGGATAGAAGTTTGGTCTACTGATAAGTAATGATAAAATTGTAATATTAGTGAATTCATGAACTTAACTTCCCAGTACTCACACATATTTTCTTGACACTTAGCCATCGCCAGCAAATGCCTTTGCAGCTTCACACCAGATCGCCTCTTTACATAGAAATGTTTGTACTCTTCACCTGAAAAATAGTCAAAGCTACAACACCCAAACAGAGCAGAGACCCAAACAGTTTACACGCCGGCAACAGAAATCTGTTTAACCTTCCACATAGCACCTGTCTGATCCGCTAAACACTTTCTAAGCCATTTGCACAACATTGTAAACATTTGCAGCACTGTGTTTATCTAATACCTACAAGAACATCACCCCCTATGTTAGCTAAGGATGGGCCTGCACTGAGGTGGGGTGCAACAAGAAGATAAATGCAGGCATGTTAATGTGGCTGATCTCTTTCAACTTTCACTTTCAATTCACTCCTTTATTTCATTGCTATGTGTGTGGTGAGGTGAGGAAGAGACGGAAGAGACGCTACATAAACAGCTGTTCGCCGCTCGCTGCCGGACAGTCGGCCGGGCGGTTCTTGTGTTAAAAATGTCCGCTTAATAATTTAAAAAAAACTGTGTTAACGCGCGATAAAATAATTGTCAGCGTTAATTAATTAATGCGTTAACGTGATAATAACACGTTGACTTGCCCAGCACTACTAACAACACAACAATTTAATTACTAATAAATAAACAATCAACTGACAAGACATTTTGTGTATAATAAGTATATTAGTATTATCATTATTTTAATAGTGGTGACAACTGGGACAATTCGGTAGTGAATGTTGAAAACCTTTGAAATATCAGTAAAACATGTTTGTGTATTTTGTCTTTCCATCTAATGAAGCTGTGATGAATATCTCCTTTCCTAACAAATCATGAACCATGGAAGAGGTTTCGACCATCAAAACCACCTCACAAATGGTCTTTTCAGCGTCTTCCCTTCTTGCCCAGCTTTAAATGAGAGTCCCTCCGTATCAACACCCTGAGGCCATGTCTGCTTGAAACTGGTTTAGTGCCATTTAAGTCTTTTCAAACTACAGTGAAAATGTTTGATATATGTATTTTCCCTCTGCCCTAAACCTGATCTTAACTGTCTGTTAGTTGGTTAAGCACACAATTAGAATGTGTGGCCCTGTCACAGCTATTCTCATGCTTATGGAAATGGTAAAAAATAAATATTTCCCTGGCTCCTTCGTACATCTCAATCACAAAACATTTACACTTTTATATGATTCATTACCAGTGGCGGCTGGCCAATAGAGGGCCATGGGGCGTGGCCCCACCTTGAGCCACTAAAAACAATAATAATAATAATTTATACAAATTGTCATTTGTGTTTTTGAAATATGGAATGTACCCAGTAATATTTGTAAAATATGATATCTGCGCAAAATATATGCTTTTCCTGCTCGTCCTCTCCTCCTGTCTGCATGTCTCAGCAGCGCTGGGGCCATGGAGAAATGGCCCACAGGAGGCAGGTCTATGAAGCAGTTTAGCCAATTGCTGATTAAAGATATAAATGAGTGACATACAATTTAGCCAATCAGCGTCCTCAAATAGATTCAATTCGAGCTTGCGCGTTCTCGTCAAGAAGTCTCTACAGGCGAGCGCGAGCGCCAGCTCGAGCACTACTCCTCCAAGACCTGTTTGAGAGGAGAACTTTGGCAGAGATTCTGCAGACCAAAGAGCTGATCCCAGATCAGCCTGACCTCACAATCAGACATCAGACTAGCGGGAAAGGGAAGCAGTACATGCGAAGCTTCTGTACTAGCTGAACACCAGACAGGTTTGGCTAGCTGGATGACGTCATGCTAATAACTTATTTAGCTTTTTAAAACAACGGGGACAAATCCAGCACGGACAGTTAGGGAGTGAGGGACTGCCTGGTTCTTCTGTTAAAAATGTCGCTTATGTTGAGTCTTAGAACAAAGGATGAAGAGCTGCAAGGCCGCAGGACCTCTCTGCTGTGAGCTTCTTACTGCGCACGCGCATCAGAAAAATGAGCTGGAACCGGTTCAAAATTAATAACAATATTTAATGTACTACACAAAATTCACTTACAAACTGAATTAACTATCAATAGTAATGTTCTCGAGAGCAGAGACCACATACACGCATCTCCTCACAGTCCGGCGCGGCCAGTTAGCTGAAAATGAGAGCTGCAGAGATCTGAGGTAAACTCCCTAAAACATTGTCTTTTGTATCCCCTGAGAGTCGGAAAGTGTCCGATACTGTCATAAAGCGTCTGAATGATCCTCCGTGGCGATTAGTGATCGGCTCCATTTGAATTCTGTCCCCTCCCATTATCGATCCCTTAGCAAAACATCTTGGCCCCTCGCAAAACATCTTGGCTCCACCTCTCCGTCGTGGTCAGCTTTGGCATTTGACCGTCCCACTGGCCCCATCCTCCATCGATGAGGTCCCCTCCATTTGCTGCTGCATGTCTGTGAAACCTCACTCAGAATCCCTATCTGACCCTCAAGACTTACAGTGTTTTAATACCTACAGTGACTATACTTCTATGATCTAATACATTCAATGAGTTAATATACTGTAACATATAATATCCTCTATAAGTGAGGATATTATAAACATAATACATTCCACATGGAAACATATTTTGACTAACATATTTATTATTGTGACACTTCTACTCACCACTAGGGGTGTTATTTAATCCTACTAATAATGTGTTTCTAATACTGAAATTCTCCACACTTAAAAACCGCTTAATAATATTTTAAAAAACTGCGTTAACGCGCGATAAAATAATTGTCTGCATTAATGAATGAATGCGTTAACGGGATAATAACGTGTTAACTTGCCCAGCACTAAAAAAACATATAAAAAGACAAGATTAGCAAGTAGCTGGCAAGTGAATATTGGAAAACATTTGATGTACATTTGCATGTACGTATATGTTGCTATCTGTTTGCTGGATGTGTAAATAGGCAAATGTTTGCTAGCATGGTAATAAAAAAAAAATACTTTAAAAGTGAATAAATTAAACAAATAATTGCTGTTACAATTCCCACACTTCCACTCCTTACAAACAAACTTTTAAATGAGCTAGTTTTGCAAGAAAAATGTATTTAGACAGGCGTCATGTAGGGCAGAAGCCTTGTGCAGCTTTGGCTCTCTGCTCTCCCATTTGCTTTCCTGTGTTATGCTTCAGTGCTGATAGTTTACACTAGGTCCCCATTAGTGTCAGAAATGCTGGGTGATGCTCAGTTACTGAGATAAACAGAAGGAAGGGGTCAGCATCTGTGTCTACAGTACAAGTGTTATTTGCTGCGGTGTGTGGTATTTGCTGTATGCTTGTATTTAAGTGTGTGTATGGGCTTATAATTGCTATTGGTAAATTTATCATTTTTCTCAGACAACAAAGTTAATCCAGTTATGTAGCTGGCTTTCCCCAGGCCTTATCTCGATTGGTTGAGGGAGGACGGGGCGGGACAAGCCATCTCTCAGTGAGGATCCCCAGACGCTCTCAGTTGCGCTGTGTCTATACAGACAGATCCACCTCCTTCACAGCCTGAGAGTTCTTCATGGACAGGAGGACTGGAACTGCAGCCGAGTACTTCTTTGCCCAGGATAACTTACCAAATGACATTTATCAAAAAGAGATTTTGACAAGTCAATGATCAGTTTATTAAAAGAACCATAAAGTAGCTTGGAATCTTGGAAAATACTTCAAGAAGATTTTGAGGAATTAAAGGAATTTTAGGGAAATTGTGGGACACAAACAACGGCAAGCATCACAAACTGGAGACGTTCTTGCAAATCATCCTCAAAATTTCTCCAACAAATTCTCAAGATCCCCAAGGTAAGGACAAGCTAAGAGGACTTAGCAGGATCAAATAAGGATTTAGAGGCCTTGCATACAGGGGTGAGGTATAAGGTGGGGAAACAGCTGAGAACCCAGAAACCTGCTGCTACTAATGTAAACAGACAGCACCATGCCAACCCTGCTGCCAACCTGTCACAAGAGGACCCAGACAACAGCAGGACAGACATTCCTGCTTTTGTTCTTCTTTGTTATCTTCAACCATCAGGTAAATGCTTAACGTACACATGCATGCACACACACACAAATTAGGCCTTTCAATTAAGTTACATTGAAGTCTTATTTAACGTTGGACTCTACAGTAAGTCAGATGTAATTTTAATTGAATATTTTTTCAACAGAAATTGGCTCCACAAAAGAAATATCCATCCAATTTAGCGAGGCAATTTAATACGTCATATTTCTCATGAAACACAGCAAAGACCCTGATGACAGATGAATGTCTAGGAATAGAAGAAAAAACAAACAGCATGTAGCAGATTATATTTAGGCTACACGAGGTACCATTGCTGAATTTTCTACAGTATCTATTTGAAGCAGGGATAGGCTCATGCGAGACAACAGAGAACATAGGAGACAGCAGCTCTTGTCTTCCCTTCATTGGTGGTACCGCTCTGTACAGAGTTGACAAGACAAACCCAAGCAAATTGAAGCCTTCTCTGTCAGGTGGTGGATGAGCCACCAGGCAGCTAAACGAACACAGGGTTTTACAGATATTAGCTTCTCACTCACTGGTTTGTGAAGGTTGGGAGTTTTCGACCAAGAAAGGAAAGCTGCAGGCCCTTGGTCCTGATAATTAATTATAAATGAAAGAGATTGCTGCTGTGGTCTGAAGTTTGCTTTTTAAATAAAGACAATTATAATGTATCTTACTAATGACAGCAAATTAAGGAATAATCATATTTCCAACATTAATTACCCTCCCCAAAGCACTGTGTTCAGCAGCCTGGTATTCAGTCAAAGTTTCACGGAATTTTTGTCACGTGACTTGGTCTCAGCCAAATCAATCATGGCTTCCCAGCTGTGCTGAGAAGCTCAATTTTAAGTTTAGGTTGTGTTTTCATATGTATTCATGGACCGTTGGAAAGATAAAAATCTGACAAATATTAAGTTTTTACAGCTTCTGGCTATGATAAATGGTGTAGTTTTTGTGATTGTTTAAAGAAAACATGCTTTTGATCCCGCTGGCGGGTTTTGGGGTTCAAAAGGTTAAATGCATCAAGACTACATGATTCCAAAATAGAATAAAATAAAACAACTCTTTGAAATACTGCTTCATAGGCTCTATGACTAAAGGTTACAAGTGCCAAGCTTCATCAAAGTCAGTCAAGCACTCAACCACAGAATGCTCTATGGATTCGCTTAAGGATCCAGCTTCCTGCTCCTGCTCTGGTGAAATTAGAGGCGTTAGACAGTATCAGATTTCACCTGCAGTATACCGCAGTACCACCGTTTCACAGTTTTGCACAATGTTCCTAGGTATTTGTTTTATCTTCAATTAGATAAGTCAATTAATGAATTAGTCAATTAATTATCTCAGTGAAAAAATAGAGATTAGGTTTTGGGTGAGTTATGTCTTATTATCATACAGCTCTGCTGAGCTTTTTTAGCTTATTTTGATTTGAAAAAATACACTCAATTGTATTTCCAGCTACAGCAGATAGCTGTTTTTTTAACTATACCTGCTCAGCACCAAACGGCAGATCAAGTTAGTGACTAGCTGGGGCAGTTGGTGCTAAAAGCTCTATAAGTTGATAATATATCGAATACATTTTTATAGTTTCTTCCAATGATACAAAAATACAGATTGTTTCTACCATGTGGAGAGATCTATTCCAAATTGGTATTCATCTTTCGAGGGGGAATGGAACATTTAATTAATATTAAAGTGAATTTAATGATAATATTATATGTACACTTTAATTCCAGCATTCTCTTAAATTTTACTGCTCGGATTAAAAAAGAAAGTTCGTCTCACTTTTTAAATCTTCCAGCAGGTAACAGGCTCAGTGCTTGAAAGTCTGATAGCTAAACGGACTGAATACTGGGAGGAATGCAACAGAACTCTGGCGACACGGGCACTCCCAGAAAGTGGTGAGCCTCCTGTCAAGTCTAAGGTTAATTATCTTGATCGTTATTACCTTTGTGAAAACTTGATTATTCTTGTTTTGCAGGAATCTACTGTAGAGGAACATTCGACACGTTTGTGTGTTGGCCCCATTCACCTCCTGGGAATGTGTCTGTCCCCTGTCCTTCTTACTTACCATGGATCAGTGAGGACAATGTTATGTTTTACCACTTCACTTAAAATACAACTCATGTATGAAGTCACTAATTAAAAATAAATGTAATTGAAGATTTGGTGTTTGATAATGCTTTGGTCCAGAATTTAACATCTCAGCAACAATTGGATGGATTTCCACAACATTTGAAAGAAAATTTGACATTTATGGATTCCCAGATAATGAATCCATTATCCTTGGCTACCCCTGACTTTTCACTGTACTACCATTAGGTAGTATTTTGCAGAAATTTGGGACAGGTATTCATGCTACTCTCAGGATGAATTAGAACCACTTTGGTGATCAATTGTTACATCTAGCGTCATCATCAGGTCAACATTTTAATTCGTCCACTACTTTGGTTTATGACCAGCAATTGACTGTAATTGGAAGAATGTTGGCATAATGACATTGGCATTTAGTTCAGTACAGCAGGCACCTTCAAATTAGCCTTAACCCTATCCCTACTTTCAAATTGCTTTCTCAATGATCAGTCCAGCCTTCCAAAATGATTTAACATCAGAATGAAGTTGTAATTAATCACATACGAGAAGTGCCAATACCCTTACAATTTAGGATTTAGCTGTATAATAATGTAAAAACAACAAGAACAAGAACAACAAATTCTCAGTCAGAAGCTACTATACATATCTATGTGTCCTTCAATTACCTACAGACGGCTCCAGGAGGGCACATCGTGAATGCTTAGTAAATGGGAGATGGCGACAGAGGGAGAATTCCTCCGAGACCTGGAGGGATGACTCAGAATGTAAGGACCACCATTATTTCAAAGATAAGGTGAGATAGTGGAAATACATGGTTTCTGCTACCTTTAAGTTTTGGAGCTGAAAATGTCTCTCTTTATTAGTAACATCACTTTCCTTTTGTGTGCATGTGTGTGTGTAAAGGAGGATGAAATGCTTCGCCAGACAGCCCTCAGGCTCATCTCTGTCATCGGCTATTCCCTGTCCTTGTCCTCTCTCTTTATTGCCACTCTCCTGATGGGCATATTGAGGTCAGTGGCAGAAGTAGAGGGGTTTCTGATGGTCAGGCAATCAAAATATTAAAATTGTATGAAGATGGGGCAGATTTGCCTTTCTCTCAGTTATGATAACGTTATACTCACCAAAGTAATTACTAAGATCTGAGAAAATGGTGGCGACAAGGCAACAAATATGACGGTTAACGGTAATGGTAAATGGACTTGCACTGGTGCAAGGTGCCACCTGCCCATCAAGATGTAAACTCAATCACATTCACACACCAATGTCACAGTCAGACACAGGAGCAAAAATGGGGTTCAGTATCTTGCCCAAGGACAGTTCGACATGCGGACCAGAGAAGCTGGGGATCAAAACGCTAATCTTCAAATTAGAAGATGACCTGCTCTACCTCTAAGCCACGACTACCTCTGATGGGGGTGACAGGGGGCTGGAAGCGCTGTGAATGTGAAGTTTTACATGCTGATCAAACAACCATCCAAACATACCAACCCAGTCCACGGAGGCATTATATTGCAATTGTGAGGGTCACTAGCATTTGCCCCCTACTAGCCTGGAGTGCTATTACTCAGATATTAATTAACAAAACATCCATATTGGGTCCCACATTATCCAAACCACCATACCACTATTTCGGTAAAACCAAAATTGAACGCAGGCAAAATGATCACGAGGATCCCTAACTACACAGAAAAACGGTGTGTGTGAACATCTTTGGCAAGTACATGGGTCAAACTTCAACCAGGAAGTTGGTCTGTAAACTATGGGAATAATCTTTGCTTTTGTTTCCTCCACTAAATAAGTTTTGCTATCATGGGGATTTGTTTGAATCCTGTCTTATTATCTAACTGCTTGTGTTCCTTGCCCCTACATCATTTTAGTATTCCCAGATTTTAGAAATGAACTTGGTGAGTACAATGTTATTATTAGAAATAGGACCCATGGCCAAAACTACTAAGGTAAAACCCATGTTTTATTAAGCTGGAATTAACCCTTATGCTTTGTATCTGTTTTCTAGATTGTACTTTAGATGTTTGGGAACCAACTCAAATTCTTATGATAGTTAGTTACTACTCTAGTGAATGAGAACAAAAATACTTTTTTCATATTGGCAATTTGAAGGTGCCTTATGAAGCTTTTTTGTAAACAAAGTTATATCCATTGCTTCTCACCAAAATGCATCGTTTTTTACTTCAAACCTAATAAACATGTTGAATGATTTACCTTCCTATAAATCATTTGCTTTTTGTAACATTTTATGGTGTTGTCGATGTCATTGTTGAAGATTAAACAGGCACCCACTTCTAAAAATATTGCTTCATACTGGTTAAAACAGGAAATGCTTCCTGGTCCATGTTGTTTAATGTTCCATCTTATGCTTCTCATGATTTTACAGTTGCACAGGATGTATAGATAATTGTCTTTCTCAAATTACATCTGTTTTTGCTTACAAGGAAGCTCCACTGTACCAGGAACTACATACACATCAATCTGTTTGTGTCATTCATCCTGAGAGCCATAGCTGTCATCTCTAAGGAAATTGTATTATACATCATGTATTCCAAGCTACCCAAGGACGATCCAGGATGGAACTCCTACTCAATCTCTACGGTATAAAATATACTGCCTTATTATTCACATATTAGCAGATACTTGCTTGTGCTGGGCCTTACAGCACTTGTGAATTAACCAAAGCAGTTTGAATCAGCCATACTATTTGCAACGCTAATTTTCTATATTTCTCAACAGACAGCATTGATATGTAAATTTTCCAAAGTGTGTATGGAATACTTTGTGGCCTGTAACTACTTCTGGCTCTTGGTGGAGGCCATTTTCCTCCACACGCTGCTCTTCACAGCTGTGCTGACTAAGAGACGTCTGCTGAAGAAATACATGCTCCTAGGATGGGGTAACGTAACTCAACACATTCTCACACATTCTAGGCTAAATACTAGCAGAGTTTTGGTGAGTGCGGCTGAACTTGAGTAGCCAAATATGGATACGATCTACCTGTCATCACCTGGCTTAAAAGCTAACGTATGGAAGCATTTTGCTTCTTCTTCCGTCCAACTCGGAAAGTGCGAAGCACGAAGTAGATTCACACTTTTTTTGCCAAGGATTTGCACCCCTACATAGTCATTAAGAATCAGAGCTTTCACGCTATGTTGCACACTTTGGAACCAAGATACAACATTCAATTGTGACATTTTTACGGACACTGCAATACTCTACCACCAAACCGAAGCTAAAGTTATGGAATCACCGAGGTAGGATGGTAGAAACATGTTATGCGAGACATCCGTTCCCACAGAATCTAGTGGCACCGTAACCACATGTTCCAGAAAGCGTTATTTTTGTATGAGAGCTGAATGCTCGTTGCCTATAAAAAGGGGAGAAGTCAATATTATTTATTTGTAAATAAAGACAGCTTCTTCTGTCACATGACTCAGAAAATGCTGAATTCTGTGTTTTTACTATGAGGATGCTGCTCCAGGCCCTATTTCATTTATTTTCCTGTTGGTTCTCTTTGCATTGTTTGGAAATGTAACCCTCCAGTTCACACATCTCTTCTATTTGTTACTAATATTGAATTAATAAAAGATAATGGAATAAATTCATCTGAATTATTACAAATTGGCTGTGTTTTTAAAATAGCAGATAGTCACAGTGAGAAAGAAAATCCTGTATCTAAAAAATGTTGATGCATTAAGAAGAATCTATAATGGTTTTATAATCACATCGTAGCCCTCTGAATCGTAATTGAATCGTGAGGTGCCTAGAGATACCCACCCCTTTTGAGAACGTTGTCATTTTCTGCTTGTTACATGCATGGTGTCTTTTCAAAATCACAGGAAACCTGTTGTTTCCATTTGTTACATGCACACAGTTTAAAATAAATTTCAAACGTAGGTTTACTTAAGCATAAATAATTTGGGTAGGTTTAGAGAACAGAAGTATTTTGTTAGGTGTAGAAGAAGATTGTGGTGTTGGTTAAAATAAGAACGTTTGTTGAATAAAATCATGACCTTTTACATAACTGGAGTCCGACGCCAAAGGGCACTGACCAAGTGACGTTATTTGATGAGTTGGAAGAGAGGAATTGTTTTGTGAGTAAGTGTGTGATTGTATTAAACATGTTGCATCTTATGCTTTTGTTACTTTTCAGGGACACCTATTTTGTTTGTAACACCATGGACAGTGCTCAAGATTTTATATGAAAACACAGAGTAAGTCTTTCATTACATACTTCACAATAAACAAATTAACTCAGTTAATTAAAATGTTTCTCATTGATTGACTTTTTTAAATCCTTTTATTCCTAAGATGCTGGTCAATTGTGAACAAATGGTTCTGGTGGATAATAAGAGGCCCAATTACTTTATCAGTGCTTGTAAGTGATTCCTGAACCAATCCTTGAAAGCCTTTCTGAGAATCACAGTACAGTTATTCAACCTGATGTTCACGTTAGTTACAGATTCATTATCTTGCTCCTGTAAGTCATGTTTCTTTGGTGCCAGCAATCAAGTAAATGTATTTCCTTTAAATCTAACCTAGATGTGTGTTGCAGGTCATTTTCTTCATATTCATCAAGATTCTGATGCTGCTGCTGTCCAAGCTGAAAGCAGATCAGGTGACGTTTACAGACTACAGATACAGGTATTTGTTCCTGCCTAGACTCACTAACTGTTTCCAAATCCAAATTTCAGGAAACATGTTTGAGCTTGAGTGCCAAGTAGTATATTTAAACATTAGGTTCCTGGTCAAATATTTAAATGTCAGTTCTTCCCATTTACAGTACAAACTCAAATGTCACACCTTTAAGGCTTTTCCTCTTAACCATGAATGTCACCATGGAAAGGAATCTTGTGAATACTATATAACTCACTTTGCCCTCTATTTTGTCCTTTGAATCATGTGCCACTATATATTTTGCGAACTTCCTACCTACTTAACAGTCTGTAAATATTCAGCGCTGTATTTTTTTGTCCTTCAGCTTGGCCAGAGCAACATTGGTACTGATTCCTCTGCTGGGAATCCATGAAGTGGTCTTCACGGTGCTGATAGATGAATGTGTGGAGGGCAGCAGTCGCTACGCCAGGAACTTTATCAACCTCACTCTCAGCTCGTTTCAGGTAACACCTGTAAAGTTGATTACATACATGGCAAGTTTTTTGTTTCTAAATCCACATTAACTATAATTCATGATGTGTATCCTTTTACAGGGATTTTTGGTTGCTGTGCTGTACTGTTTTGCTAATGGAGAGGTACATTTTATCTGTATGTATTGTGATTTTTCATAGATGTTGAATTCCATATGAATTGGAAGCTCAGTTAAGTCATTTGTTAGTTTAAGACTTTGAAGCTATATACAGTATATTATAGTGTCTATTAGGGTTGTCACGATACCAAAATTATGACTTCGATACGATACCTGCCATAAGTATCACGATACGATACCAGAATTCGATACAATACCACAAATACGATACGATACTGGTATATTTATCTATAATAGTAATAAATAAAACATCTGTACGGTTCCCTTTTTTACAGCTTGTTCCTGCCCAGCTTTTTGAACACTTAACAAATGGCATTAATATTAGTATTAGCCTACAGCAAGATATTAATGAAAACTACATGGTGCCATGATTGCTGCTGACTCTGCTGGCATCTGTCTGACTGTCTGTGGGAGTGGGTGGATAAACAATGCTTCATTTACTTGCATAGTGAGTTTGATATTTTCACTTCATATTTTATCTTAATTCATGGAATAATTATTTTTCCTTAACTAAAAATAAAAATAATTAGCTCAAGATCCACCCTCAGGCTCCATCAGCATGTTGCAATTTTGCATCAATTGTGTTTCATTGAGTACACTTCTGTGTGCATTGTGACCTCATGATCATATAGGCTTGTCGTCAAACTAGGCTACGGCTACTCGTGTTAGCTGTCTATGGGTGAGCTTGGGGGTGTTCATGTTTATAATCACATTTGCTTACCTGTCGTTCTTTGAACTCTTTGAATAGTTGGGGGTGTCTGTCTGAAAGGTGCTTTGCCATGTTAGACGTGTTGCCTCCCTTGGTCTGTGTGGCTTTGAAACACGTTTTGCAAACGGGTCTCTGTAGGTCAGTGGGCTTTCCTTCACTGTCTGCAATATAGCCAAAGTACTTCCAGATGATACTTCTGGCATCTTGTTTTTCAACAAGCCGAGGACGGTCGGCAAAAGCTCCTGCCATGTCTCCCCTGCTATCACTCGCTGTGAGTGCGCGCTGCCTGTTGCTGTGTGAGCGCTGGGCAGTCAATGCCTGCAGTCAGCATGACAGGGAGCGGAGCAGCGAGTGCGTTCTGATCGCGCACTATTTTAATAAAGTATCGATACTAAAAATATGCAAAATCATATCGTTTTTAACGTACAGGTACCGCGATACCTTTTTAGTATCGATACACCGTGCAACCCTAGTGTCTATATTAAAAGGGACAGTTCACCCAAAAATCTAAAACATATTAAATCCACAGACATTTTTATCATCTATCTATGCAGTTCTCCTCAGAGCTTTTAAGCCTCTTTTAGCTAACTGTCTTGGTTTTGGATCACACCTTTAGATCAAATAAACCTAATTTCCAGCAGCAGCAGGCAGTCGTTTTTGGCAGAATTTTTTACACAAACCAACTCTATGCGACCCGCTCAGCACCAGATGGCAAACAGACAGAGTTAGAAACTAGCTGGTGATATTAGAGTATTTAGCAGCTAAAGAGTAACACATTTTTCTCATGAGCAAAGCAGCCAGCAGCTGTTCTCAGCAAAAAACGTTCTTCCAAACCCAATGGATGCTACCTGCCAGGTACCAAACGACAGGCAAAAGAAGTGAGCATCTAGCAGATAGACATTTTAGTTTAGAGTTGGAGAGTGAAAATCAAACTACATTGATTCGGTGACCACGTTGTTCAGATGTATACCTACTATATACACTTAAAGAAACTGTGTAAGATTTAGTGACATCTAATGGTGAGTTGCATACTGCGATCAACTAAATACCCTTTTGCTCACCCCTCCATTTACAAGCATGTCTGAGAACTACAATGGCATTCAGGTAGGGATAGGTAAGGATTTCACTACAACAAGGAGCTATTCTTATCACTACTCGGTTCTTTTTCGTCACTAAATAATTGCTTTTAAAAACATATATGTATTTTTAAAAACAAATAAATTCAGAACAGGATTAGAATTTAATAATAATAATTTAAATATTACAAAATATTGTTTCTAGATCAACAGTAAGGTTTACAACAGAAAAGTCAATATACAAAGTCATTAGTAGCTCACTGTAAAAAGTCTAAAATGTCAATAGAATAAATAACATTCCTGAGTGAAGTTTATAAAGAAGAACCCAAATCATCAGTCAGTATCAAGTCCTTCCTCTTGTCCTCTGTTCTCCCTCTGATGTGCCTGTAAGTAGCGCTAGTAGAGGGAGGACGGCTGCTTTGTCTCAGCCAGCAGAGACGTTTACAAGAACAAACTGCTAAACAGTTAGACTACATACAGACAGCTTCTGTTTTAGCTTCTTTGTGAAAAATGTGCCTTTGGTCGCTCTAGGTGCTGACCTTGTGTGAATAAAGCAGTGGTTGATGAAAGACTGCGGAATTACATTATCCTTTTGTTAACATGTTAATGCTTGATGAACAAGTGTATTGATAACATATTGGCTTTTTACTCGTGAATCTTACATCTTACAACGCTCATCACTTCAAGTAATGAGCGTAGTTGTAGTTGTCATCTCTAGTAATCGTCACTTCAACTGGTTTACTTCAGTGTCTCTGCTGACTATATTAACCCTAAACATTAAAAAGTACCAATAAAATCACCAGTAACGTCAGAGCTTATCAACAATCCGGTCTTTAATAATTGAGCAGGTTTCGATACCCATCCCTACCTTTAGGCAACGTAAAAAACGGGAAAGGCTCTCGCTAGAGCCTGTGTTCGATTTGTCCGTTCTGGGATGCTGTAGAAACATGGTAGTGCAAGATGGCGGACTCTGTGGAAAAGGACCTGCTCCCTTTGTAGATACAAATGGCTCTTTCTAAGCAAACAAAAACACAAGTGATTATACACTAATGAAAACATAATTATGAATATTGCCATATCTGCCATAAACATGTAGTCGTCTAACTGGTGACAATTTTTTTTGTACTGAAATTCAGGTCCAAGCTGAACTAAAGAAGCGCTGGCAGCTTTTCCTGTTTACCAATCACTTCCAGGTGAGGAGCTGTTTTCGGTGCGTACCCCTCAAGTACCTCTGGAAGTGCACTCGATGGCGCCGCCCACAGTGCTCTCGGCAGAGTGACTTCTTTGACGAGGGCGGTACCTCCACAACACATCCACACCTGCTTCAGGTAGCTGAACATGAAGGAGGTGAAGGACTTAGACAAGGAGAGGTTAAAGGTCAGGGTTTGAAGGGCTGTGACACAACAGGGCTTGACTTTCTCAACAGGAAGAGCCTGTCCAGTAGTGATGGAGAGATGACTCTAGGGGAGACCATGGAGGAGATTCTGGAGGAAAGCCAATTCTGATCCCATTGAGGTTGTTGGTGCTTTTGTCATATTTTATGATATAAGTGCATATCATTATATTGAATGCTAAATCATGTGGGTCCTGATGCCTTGTCCTATAGATGGGCCCTGTGTTAAAATCTAGACCTTTCTTATTTACATTGTGTTCATAGTGTATGTATTCCCGACTAAAGCCACCACTTATAGTTGACACAGACAAACGTCCCTGTGAGTAGTCACCAAGTCTCTATAAGGGCCTATTGCCCAGGGAATAGGCAGTGATAAAGGCTTGGTGAATACTTACAGGGCTAGTTGGTGAGCTAAGGTCTAACACTAGCAAGCTGTTTCCTTCACTCATGATATGTTCTTGGGATCTGATATAATTTCAAGCTCATTACCAGTCATTGGTGGGATGTCACATTAGCAACATTGTGTTAATTTAAGACATGTATTTGTACCATCAACTCCTGTCTAAAAACTACGGAGGAGGGTTAGTGTAAATAAAAGTAGATAGAGCTATGCTAACATCCTCAATTTTGAACTCTTCAGGTCTAGGTGAATGTTTAGCACAAATTTACTTATCCCCTAAAAGTGAATTCACTGAATTTTTGTTTTTTTTACTGTGCCATTTAACTATTTTAATGGCTGGTGTCACCAGGCCTTAATTAAGGAGTAGTTGTTGGTCTCTGATTGGTCTGTGCAAATATTCAAGTTGCCATGAGTAGTCTACTGTGTGCACTATCATTTGAAGTGATATTACTTCTACTTCATGTGATGTATTTCTTTTTGGTTTGTTGCATTTTATGCGTTGTGCTTTGCTTTGTAGTTTGAATAGTTATTGTCATCAGCAACATTTGTAATGTGATTGTTTAAGCAAGAAAATCATCCCAAATAAATATTGTGAACCCCTTTAAAACATTTGAATTCATCAATGTATGGCTGAATATTGCTCAACAATGTAATCATTTAAACAAAACATGAATGTTTTATATCTTCATTGTAAAACATACAGCAGAGATTCAGGTGCAACCTACACAAGTAATGAAGGGTTAGGGTTGGGGTTGGGGTTGGGTTAGGGTTAGGTTTGGTAAGGAGCGTGGCCCTCCTAAGAGGGCCACGAGGGGCACTGGCACAAGGGGGCTGTCCTTTAAAAAGGCTTTAATAAAAACCCTGAAATAAAAAACAATTAAGACAATTTTATTAAAAACAGTCTAGGGAGCAGAGCGACTGCCAGCGGGAAAGGCAGAGAGGAAATGTTAAAGGGGGAAGGGAGGTTAAAAAGCGCAAACATGGGGAGAAAGGAAATAAAAAACACAATCACACACAGCACCTCCCCAATGAATATATAGATATATATAAAAAATGTATAAATAAATTTATATAAAAAAATTAATTAACATATAATAAATGTATATACACACAAACACCACCTCTAAAACTTTAAAAAGATAAATAAATAAGTGCTTAAAAGAAAGATAAGTTAACATATAATAAATGTATATACACCCACACACACCTCTAAAACTTTAAAAAGATAAATAAATAAATAGCATAAATAAAAACATGAGTGAGATATTGTGTAAAATTATGCCCAATAACCCTATCCCACGTCCGCCGCTTAATTGGGAGTTAAAAAAAAAAAAAAAA